TGGCGCTATGCTGCAATTCAGGCGTCACTTTCAAATACCGCACTTTTCAGTTCTGCCCTCGGGGCTTTTGCAGATCTGCCCCCGGTACTGTACCGGACACCCGGTACTTATACCGGTGCCCCGTACAGTACGGGGACCAGTCTCGTACCAGTTTCCAGCTGCTGTACTCGTACCCAGTGTGACTTGCTCCTGTTTCGACATTCGGAATCCAAGACTTCGACTTTGTGTCCTTGCCACTGTGTCTGCGTCCGACCCTCAGTCGTGTCGAGTGAGTGAGTGTGTGTGTGTGCTCTCACTCTCTCTCTCTCCCTCTCCTCTCCCTCGGCTCTCCCTGTCTTCCTCAGTCTCGCGCTCGTTAAAGGTCCAATCACGATGCCCAATGCAGGTGAAGTGCCTGCTCAACAGGGGAGAGTAGTTGCCTGGACGAAGAAGAAGAATCGTCCAGAACTCCAGCACGATGAAGATGGAGCCTGCCACTCTCAAAGAAGACCTCATAGACGAGCCGCTTCGCAGGCAGCTGAAATATCCCCAATGACACAGTAGGGGGAAGGCGCCACTCAGCGCTCAGGGCCTGATACCCTGCGCTGTGCGATGCGGTTGCTGGCTGCCCTAGCTATGGCTGCCAGCGTCTCTGCAAGATGTTGATGTCTGCGCTAGGGAAATAATGCAGCAACCTCCCGTGGTCCTTCCAGCCGCACTTCGTGAAAGAAAAAAAGTGACGAACAGAATCCCAAATCTGTCGGCCTCTGCCTACTTCTACCCGACTTCCCTAGACCTACAACACAGCAGCCACCTACAGACCTATCTGACCATCCAAACAGCAAACATCTACAGCCAAACTGTCAAGATCTTCCTCTACGCATCTAGATGGAACCTAGACTAAGGGGACCCCAGGCTAGGACACACAAAAGAAAGACCTACGGGCCTACCAGTTTCCAGAAGGGCAGAAAAGGACAAAACAACAAGGCTGAAAGGCCTAAGACTATGACGCAGAGACTACTAGCGACAGGTTCAAGGTTCAAGCCCAATAAACCTCAAAAAGAGTCAAACACGACAAACACCGCAAACACACTACAGGTCACGGGATCAAGTCCCGCAAGCCGTAAAACCCCAGAAAAAGTTAGAAAAAGCCTAACTACTTAGTGTTACACCCCCTGAAACCTGCGATTCATTGCACATGTCTGTCTCGCTTAGGCAAGTCCAAATTCACACGAGGACATTGAGTTTTGTCCACGGCCATTTTGCAATGGTTATGCAGCAAATCACCAATGGTTTTTGATTTAGCAAACATGACCCTCGACCTTCGTCCCAATGCACTCGCTAGGTGTTTATGCCGAACATTTGTCAGTATCGATCGAGCAAGCAACCTCCTAACTTTAGCCAATCAATCTCAGGGAAGTATGGAATCCTCAATATCATTTGTCTTCCGACGTTAACCACATACTTCCGTACTGCCACTCGAGACAAACATCCACGTAATATCCAACGACTCTTCTTCGATACGATAGAATGCATACATAAGTATAACTTAATTATCTGTGTCAAGGTATAGAGGTAACGATTACCACAACTCCAGGGTGCACAGCAAAAAGCGAGATGAGCGTCCTTCTAAGCTTCCTGTACGGGTTGGTTGTTTGCACACAGCATACTATCCACAACGAGCATCCTGCTTCAATGAACCTTTGTCCCTCTTTTAAGGGTAGTGAAACGGATTCCACCTTTGCAGTAGCCGATGCAGATCCCAGGGCTCGATCCCTAGTCCTTGCCGTACCTGTGTACAGTATCTGTGTCGACCCCAGGAGTTGAACCCACGACCTGTGTCTTTCCCCACAGTTGGTAGGTTGTCGTAGGTCTGTAGGTTATAGGGGTTCGATCTATAGACATGTCGGATAGGAGTCTTAGTGAGTTCTAGAAGTCGTAGCTGTAGCTCCTCCGAAGGGTCAAGGTCGTAGCTGCTACAGTCCAGAAGGGTCAAGGTCGTGGCTGCTACAGTACCGAAAGGCCAAGTCCGGAAGGTCCGGAAGTGGCCTTTCGGGTACTGCCCACAGTAGACCGAGGCAAGTGGGCAAGTGGCAAAGTCCACCGTTGCTGAGTCAGCGGTACCCAGTCCCAGTCAGTCCTAGTCCAGTCAAGCAAGTACCGTATGGGACTGTGTGCACCACGGGCATGGGAAAAGGGCAGACCAACGAGTTACAGAAGTATAAATCAATAGGCAGCGCCCAGCCCTTCATTCATTTCTGCGTAAGCCATGCCCCAGCGACTTGTGCAAGGTGGTCTGCAGGGTGCCCGAAGACGAAGTGGGCGAGAAGGAGAGCTTAGCCATAGCGATAGGGGTAGTAGCCTCCATAGCCGCCATAGCTGATAGAAGAGTGTAGCGTGTGTGTGTGCGTGTGTGTGTGTGTGTGTGTACAGTGTGACGCGTGTGGGATATCCAGGGTGATCCTAAGTTGAGGGTGTGTGAACAGCAGAGTGGGGCGCAGTGACGAACAGGGAGTTGTACAGGTGCTGAAGCGCCATAGCCATCTGAAGCAAACTTGTATCTGAACTGTGTTCTTGGTTTCCATATCTCTGAGTTTTGAGTGGGCGCTTGTCGCCAGTTTGCTGCGCTACCTGTTTACATGCATGTGGAGTGCGAAAGCGAGTCTGATTGCATTGGTATCAGAGCTGGTACCTGCTATCCCATGCGCCATCGCCGTAGGTTAGAGACGCGCGCCAAGTAGGGCGCCATAGCTGAAGAGCGCCACCGCTGAAGACGAAGTCCGCCATAGCGGATCTGCAGGGTGAAGAAGTCGCCGCACGCACCTGCAAAGAAGACAACGACGAAGAAGAGAGAGAGAGAGAGAGAGAGAGAGAGAGAGAGAGAGAGAGAGAGAGAGAGAGAGAGAGAGAGAGAGAGAG